TTCCTGCTGCCAAGGATCTGAACATAGGGGTTACTTGAATAGGAGAGCTAAACTCCAATCTTGACGAGGTAGAAACAATCCCATCATTATTTATTTGTTCTTCACAATATGGTAAAACATCTGCCAGAATAAATATCATATTATCACTTATGATTCAATAAAATATTAGGGTATTAGCATATAGAAAAAAAAAAACATTTATTTTGGAAAATATGAAACACTAAGCCTTAATATAATTTCCAGCTTAGGAGCATTTCTTTTCGTAGTTATTGTACCTAAACAGATCTTTTTACCAAAAACTCTTGTAAAATTCTTTTTATTTACTTATCATGGAAATAGATTATCTAACCTTGATCTACATTTGCAGTAGAAAGAACCCCTTTCTCATCTCTACCTACTCCTTTTTCATCTCCAAATTGCTCAGACTTTATTTCAGTTCCAATATCCTCATGCAATGAGTGATCCAAATTATCACCAGCTGACTGACACAGGAGAGTTGATCCTGTACTGTATCCAGAACTTCCTGGAGAATCTTCATGACGTTCCACTTGCCTAGAACATATTCAGAAACTATTAGACATTTAACAGAGTCCACGTGTGAAGTACTAGTTTTAAAGAACTTAAGTACCTCCAACAAGCCTGGCCATTCTCACTGCCGTTCATCAAGTCCTCAATCATATCTTCAACATCTTTGAGCTGTAAATCTCGAATCTTGTGTCCAGGAATATCTGATTCTTTGGTTCGGTTCAGAAACTCTTGAAGAGCCTGGCATCAGTTCAAACAACTGTTAAATGGTACTTAAAGTCTATAAAGAATGACATTTTCATATTTATATGCTCAAGAACGACATATATGATATATCAGCTCATGATGGGCATCTTAAAATCAAGCCAAGTTTTAAACATTTGATTATATACTTGCAAGATGATCTATGAAACCATTTCAAAGTTTTCATGAGTAAGATTAACAACTTATTTGACTCATTTCTCTTCAAAAGTCCTAACTAGAGAAATTAGAAATCTTATAGAAACTATAGGAAATTGTAATGCCTAATAACTTTCGATTAGCTTTCAATGCTTACCAAGTGCTAAAGAACTAAACCAAGATACAAAATGTTAAATGACTTTCATATTTATTCATATAAATTGGTTGTCAAATGACAAGTTGCTTGTTGTTGATGTTGAATTTCTAAAGATTTAACCATTACTTTTGGGCTCTACTCATCAGAAAAACAGTGAGTTCATTTTTAAGGAAGCACATAAGGTGTTCAATATTCAAAACTGACGCAAGTTTAGAAATTTTCAAGCCTCACCTTCCATGCGTTTTCAAGACTTTGGTCCATGTTCTCTGTATCAACTTTAAGAGCTAGTGAACTTAGTAACTCTGCCTGTTGCATCAATGCACTTCTCTTTGGGTCATCGGTTTTGAGGAATGTCCCTTGACTCTTGTTATTTTGGGCTGCAGAAGAATGATAAACCAATATCATCTTACAATGAGAAGATGGCCAAAGTTTTGTTTCCTGAATATATTAATTCTACCATATTTTCTGTTTCAGATATTACAATTTGTGAATCAAGTTCCAAAACTAAAGTTCAACTCAAAGACAACTACCAGAACTGTTAAACTTGGGATTGCAAGCATGATCCTGGCCTGGCAAGTTGTTTAAGTTATTGGAGTTTTGAGCTAATACTGCAAATGGTGCTCTTGGCTGCTGATTTATTTGAGTTCTGTTTTGTAAATGTGATCGGTCCCCAAATTTGATCTTTTCTGCATCATCAGGGATATGGGCCCTCCTACATTGCAATAGGACAACATGTTAACCCTTTTCCTTTTAGAATTTGTGTATATTGATACATAGAGTGTATAGTACCTCATCTTCCCAATAGGTACTCCAGATTCTGATGTTGTATCCATATTATTATAATGTTGGAGGATAATCCTTTTGTTATTTGAATTGATGTATGAAGTGCAGTTCTCTTTTGCTAAAGCTGCATATTTTTCTCTCTTTCTGCAGAGTGTGGAGAAACGGTTTTTCACAGCATTATCCGTTCTGCACAGAAAGCATCAGGTGTTAACCTCATAAAATGGTTATTTAACATATTCACACAAACTTATGAAGAAAATAATGAATTTTTGGTTACCTGCCTGAAACCACCTTTGCTATTTCCGTCCATCTGTTACCAAATATTTTTTGTGCCTACAGAGAAAATGGCCAGAAATTAGGCCACAAAAATCACATTTATCGATGTGTAATGAAGTGTAGTTGGTTCCGTCCCTGGGAGTATGTATATATAAATATGAGATCTAGGTTGATTTGGTTGTAACCTACTAATAATAGGCTAGGCTGCTCCTCAGTGCTCTAGCTTATCAATGGATATTGTCTACTGAATAGAGGCATCAAACAACAACAACAAAAACCTCATCTCTATAGGTGAGGTCAGTTACATGAATCACAGGACATCATTCGACTTGGATAAAGACAGAGCATCAGACAGAAAGGAAAAAAATGATCTCCAGTTTTTCAAAGTTCCATATGCTTTTATTATAAAATAAAGTTGTTAAATTCCCACATCATTCATTGTAGATGAGTCATGAGAGTAGCTTCAGAACACAGGGAGCATCAATATACCTCACATAAGAGCATGTCTTCCTCAGCTGACCATCCACCTTTTTTGAAATCAGAATTCAAGTAAGTGTACCATCTGAAATTTGATTAGTAACTTAGCATGAGATTGATAGTAACCAAGAACCCAACAAGATCACCTGAATCAGTCAAGATCAAAATTCAAAACATGAAGAAAATTCAAAAACTTCACCTTCTTCTGCACTGTCTTGTCGTTTTGTCCTTGAACTTAGATGCAATAACTGCCCAACTGCATATAATTAATTGCAAGAAAATCCCTTTAATTTCACACATCAAGGAAGAAGTAGTGTTTATGCCAAAAACAAGAATTACAAAAGAGGAGTTAGTACTTTTCAGTTCCATGAATACCAATCTGCTCTCTAAGTATATCATCCTCCTGAAACTCACATAACCAATATGAGAATTAACCAAATTCAATGGATTGATAAGTATAAAAAGAATTAACAAAAAATACAAACTGCTGAAGAGAGAAGCACCTCCTGACTCCAAGTCACAATGTGACGCTCCTTCTTCTTAGATTCTTCATTTCCCTGTTGCTTCTGCTTCATATCTTGCATGATTAATTTGAGAGTGCTTATTCTATTGGTGTCTCTCTTTGCTTGAGGCTCCCTCTTTTTTCACCAGAGCCAGCCAACTTGCATGCTAAAGCCAAAACTTTACAATTAGAAGCTTTTATGATTTGGAGAAAATTTGGACAAAAAAATAGAAAAGAAAAAAAAAATTAAAGAAAAAGGGGAACCACCTCTTCTCCCTTCTCTTTCATCCACCTTTACACCGTAATAAGCACGAATTCCATTCCGAAAAGCCCTCACCAAAAGGTATTCAAATGAAAAAGGGAAAGAAAATTGCTATTACCTCTTTCCCTCTAACACCTGTGATCACGGCAG